AAACCCTAATACCCTAATCCCTAAACCCCAAACCCAAATTCCTGAAAAATTCCCCAAGCTGGCACCCAGGCACAGAGGCGGCGGAGCCCTCAGAGCCACGCCGCTCCTCCGCCTCCTCCAGGGGCCTCGTCAGCGGGCTGTGGCTTAATATCCCTCTAAGGGAACCTAGGGTTTAGGGCTTAGGGTTTGGGATTAGGAATTAGGGTTTAGGTTTTAGGATTAGGGTTTAGGGTTTTGGGATGTATCCCTCTAGGGGAACCTAGGGGTTAGGGCTCCATGGGTGTATATTCCCTCTTAAGTAGATTGTGCTTAGGTGTCTTAGGGTTTCAGGCATTAGGGGATATAGGTGCCCATTGGGACAATATTAAGGTTATATGGGGGTTATATGGTGGTTATATTGGGATAGTGGAAAAGAAAATGGAAACTACGGTAACAGGTTTTATGGGGTTTAGGGTTTGAGATTATTGTCCCCTTTAAGTAGATAGAATTTGGATACATCATAATAAAAAAAAATATATACCCCCCTATTCTATCTACTTAAGGGGGACTATAGGTTTTGCACATGGCAATAATGAATACTGTCACTTCTATTCTAGTTAGTAATGAGGATGGAAAAACCGAACATTCGAAAAATGACCAAGGGGGACTATAATCCGAAATCCTAAGCCCTAAACCCCATAAAACCCATTACCGTAGTTTCCATTTTCTCTTCCACTATCCCAATATAACCCCCATGTAACCTTAATATTATTCCAATGGAGCTTTGGGGTGCAGGTCTGAGTGTTGTGACTGTGGGTTTTCAATTTTCTCTACAGCCCCTGGAATAGCCATGTAGTGGCTCTAGATTCAGCGGTTGAACTACTCATCATGTGTAGGGATTCTTTAGAAGGTTTTGAAAACGGCAATCCAGCAGAAAAGCGCTTCAACTTATGGCTTCTAAATGGAAAACTTAGGCCCCCTTTTTTGAAGCGAGACAGAGAAAGTGGATGCAAGGTTAAGACAAGTCCAAGGCCCGCATCTTCTGAATCATGGAAAAAAGGCAACTTTGCTTAGAGACCTCCACAAGTGTATGTTGTTCTGAGGCCCTGCAGATGGAGAATATGTATGGTCTTGGGTTTGTTGGAATAGGGCCTGAAACGCAACTTCTGAAGCCTGATAGCAACTAACAGAAGTCCTTTGTAGCAGCAAGGGGAGAATAAGATTGACAGACTGGATAGAGCAAACAAGTTTGATTTAAAAACTGCAGAACAGCAACAGTCGTTGCGACGCTTTATACAATAACTGTTGCGCCGAGAATGAACCAATCACAACCTTTCCGCAGACAGGCACCTGCTGCCATCCGAGGCCATCGAGCCCGCAGAGTTCAGGGACAGGGAGGTGCGGCCAGTGCCCGCAGGCGCTCCTTCAGAAAGGAATTCTCACCATCGACACTTTTCTGAGCTCTCCTATACTGTTGTCATTCACGGTCCTTCTAGTTCTGTATGGCTGGGAAGAGCTGCCGTTAGTGCTGCTTTTCATGACCATAGTCTCTTGCCGTGAACCGTTAGTGCCGCTGTTGCGTTTGTTGCTTGCAGCGCGATGTTTGACACGTTCATGAGAATGATGGCTCGAAAAGTCCATAAGTGAGCAAACTGCGAGCAGCATTCTTGTCTCAATTAAAGACATAAAGCACATGCGCTGTGTTTGCAGGAAAGTACACTCTTCAGGGAATACACCATACAACAAAGTTTCATTGCGACCCACTAGCCCCGAAGTTGTATCAACCTTGCGAAAATGTGAAGGTTTGGAATGACTCACATCTACTGAAACCCAAAGACGTGCCGAGTCTTTGACTTTGCCATGCTCAGCTATTCACATCAGCCTACCAGTGCCAACAATTCAACGTCTAGAATCTAGAATGGAAACTGAGTTTCTGTCCACATGATGATTGCATTACCACCATGGCAAAGACAAAGCCCGTCACCTTTGTAGCTTTCACGCCTCCAACGAGCTTCCCAAGTTTCTGAAATTGGCATCCTGAACCGTTGAGTCCTTCTGACCCTGACAAGTCGAGGGCTGTTCCACTCCTGACGTCACAGACAGAGCGAAATCTGAGGGGGCAAGATGCGAGCAACCCTTCATTGATAGGAAGAATTGGACTATATTGGACTGTAGGCTGGACATGCATACCAGCGATGGGAGCTGACAACGCCTCCTTTGGCCTTTGCACAGAAGCTCTGCTTGGACTCTCCTTGTGTCCGCTCTCCGCGCAGTGGTCATGGACTTCGCAGCACCTAGAAGTTTGGGGGGCTTCACGGCACAGGCTTCGTTGCTCAAGGTTCTTGATTCGACGATGTGCGTGTCTAAAGCTGCACAGAAATGGCCAAGATGCAGAAGCTTGGCACCCAAATCTCGACCCAACAACAGCCGAGACCCAAGCCCGAAGCTCCTACCAAATCCTTCATAGGAGCCTCCAAAACTCTCGTTGAATCAGCTCGTTGCCCAGCCAAGTGGCCTAGCTTTCCTTGCTTGGCCCGGCTTTGGAGCTCCTGCACATCTCTGCACTTCGGATTCAACTTCTGCAATCGCAGACCAACTCCCCTTGATGTTAATTAAAAATCTACTGATACGAGCTTGGAAAATTACGCAGAACGACCAAATGGGACTCTTTCAGGCCAACACTGTAGCTAACTGTGTTCTGCATTACTTGGCTGGAGTTGCCAACTCAGCTTGCGCATGTGCTGCGAGGGCTTGGACGAGGAGCTGGCGGCTGTAGACACATCCCCAACTGGCTGATCAGGGGAGTCCCAGGGACCTCGTAGTCAAGTTACCTTCTCCACTTTCTCATTATCTAAAACCTCTTCACCATCCCCGCACCAGATACTTCCAAAGGCAAACCTAAGCGAATGGAGTCGTGTTTTGGCCTTCACTTTAGGGCATCCTCATGTTGGACGGTCACTTGTCCCTTCAACACCCTGGCTCCGTTTTACTTTCTGCCGGAACCATGAAATCGGCTCATCCGGGCAGCAGGAAATATTCTTCGTGACATGTTTTGACCACACTCCGGGACGTCAAGTGTCAAGCTCGGCGCGCCTTCAGCCTCTGCTGCTTTGCCTTCTCTCTGGCTGCCACTACTCCCCGGCAGAGCACCTGGCAAAAGCACCACCAACTAGTGAATCGCCAGCTTCTGCCAGCCTTTGTTGCTTACACTCCGTCCCCAGCATTTCCAAGCACCTGAACCGCAACAACATTTAAGCAGGCTGGCAATGCCCGACTTCAAGCAAATAGAATCTCATGAACCATGATCAGAAACAACTCATAGATTGTGCAGTTGGGTCAGGGTCTCTCCACCAGCAACCCGGAGGGCAGCAAGCGCTGGCAGAAGCGCCCTGCAGGCGTACAGTAAGACGAAAAAGCCCACCACCCCGCCACCGATCATCAGGATCCTGGCTCAAGGAAAGCCCTTAGCAACAGCACCAAAGCATCTGGAAACTATGGAACTAGTCTCTGAGCGCTATCTAGTCTAGGGCGAGGCTCCTCTAGGACTTCGCCAGCCAAACTGCAAATCCCTGAAGAGCACCAATACGAGATAATAAGCCTTAACATTAGGACGGCGTCCCCTACAAACTTGGTTACCGTTTCGTGTCAGACATTTTGGGCCCTGTTCAAACTTCTGAGAGTTCCCCCCCCAGACCCCTTTGGACATGGGTTAAGGATGGTCAAGGAACCTTTTCTGGGAAGAAGTGAGTTAGATGTCCAACGAGCATGGTATCTGAGCTCATTTCCAAGAGGGCCCCAGGAACAGACTTGGGTTCGGGAAATCTGCACGAGAAAAGTACTGATCAAATCTCATACTTGAACGGTCCCACACTCCGTTTAAGCAGCTTACTCCGAATTAGAACACTCTCAAATGCCAAATGAAAGAAGCGAATCCCGAAACGCGCGAGCATCATATGTAACATCCTTAAACATTATTTGACAACAGATTAATATCCAACGCTCAAGCTAGAACCGCTAGCAGTAGCAGTAATGATAAAAAGAACACCAGTAGTAGTAGTAGTAGTAGTAGTAGTAGTAGTAGTAGCAGCAGCGGCAGCAGTAGTAGTGGTAATGGTAGTGGTGGCAATAACAGTCGGAATATTTCGT